GAAAGTTAGAATACATAAACATCATTCCACTTCAAAACCAAGAGTCGTCTGAATAGATATGGCATTAGAACTAAAGTAGGAATTTGTCACTCAGAATGACAATAAATAAATATCCATGGAGTTCCTGTCTCAGTTAAAAATCGACACTCAGGCTGTTAAAAAAAAAAAAAATTAAAGGAATCTTCCTTTGCAAATGTGTTTATATTACAATTTTTAGTCCAATAGACTATGATTGTTCTACACTTAAAAAAATGCAGTTTCTACACAAATACAAAGTGGAAAATAACAAAGTACACTGTCACCACAGCCTCTCAAGGGTCAAGTGGCGGTTAAGCATCAGAGAAATGAGCTCACTGTGTAAAATGTAAAATGAGTAAAGCCATGAAATGAAGACTGAAAATATGAAAGGAAACCTCAGCTCCATTTTCATGCTATCCTCGGTAAGCTTCTCTGTTGCCATGATCCAAAGGCAACATGTCCTGATCACTAAGGGAAATCAGGGAAGGAGTGAGGGTAGGGGACACATGGTGTGACAATAACAGCATCTGGAGGCAAAAAGTAAAGCAGAACAATGGAGGAACGCTGCTCCCTGGCTTACTCAGCTACCTTTCTCATATGGCCCAGGCCCACCAACAACCCAACAACGAGCTGGGCCCTTCCATTATAATCATTAATGAAGAAATGTCTCACTGACTTGCCCAAAGACTAATCCGATGAAGGCATTTTCTCAACTGAGACTCCCCACTCCCATATAACCCTAGCTGTGTCAAGTGACAAAAAAACTAACCAGAACATATGTCATCATAAACATCCAGTTTGGAATATCACTGAAAATACTGTCATAGAACCGTAGATTTTCTCATAAATACTACTTAGTAGTCATTAACTTTCTTCCTATACTTCCAAGTTAATATTCTACTTGTAAGTATATTTATGCATAAATATATACTTGAGACAAAATGCTGAATTTATTTTACTTAATGCATATAAAAAACAAACCAATCCTATCACAAAATATATTAGTATGTCATAAAAAATTTTTAAAGAAAACTTGGGTATCAGTACTGACTCCTGTGCTATGAATATCAAAACTATCTGTTTAAAGAACAAAATGTCTAATGTCCAAAGATTCTTCAGAGAATTAGAAAACTTACATTCAGTGTCTTTCAGTCAAATATTTAACTTTCTAGACTTGTAAAACAAATTTAAAAGATCTATTATGGTAGGTGAAAAACAATTACAAATGCAAGTTTTAATTTCTCTTTTTAAGATCAAAGCCCTGAGCAGTTTAGCTAATCTTTGGAAAAGACAAAAATGAAAAATCATATTCTAATTGGTACTAGAAAGTGAAGGTTTGGATTCATTGCTAGCTAGAGGATGTAGATTAAATACAGTAGGCAGTTTTCTTTTGAAAACTATTAAAAATGAATTAGAATATGGGCACCCTGACTGTAATCCCAGCATTCATACTCAAGGCGGGACAAGAAAAACCAAGGTTTGAGGCCAGCCAGGATTATACAAGAAGTCCATTTCAAAACAGGAAAACAATCCTCTGTTAGTTAAGTCCCACTAGGCATTTATCTTGTGCACTCACATTCCTACAATTGTCATGAGAAAAGACACAATTGTTTTATCCCTACCCAGGTCCTTCTTCACTTTTTGCTACTGTAATGCAGATGCGTTTTCATTCTACTTGTATTACCTACATCAAGTAAATTATCAGAAAAATGGGCTCACACATGCACACACACACACACACACACACACACACACACACACACACACACACACACACGGTTTTTCGAGGCAGGGTTTTCCTGTGTAGTTCTGGATGTCCAGGAACTTACTCTGTAGACCACACTGGCCTTAACCTCAGAGATCTGCCTGCCTCTGCCTTCCTCTACTGTAATTAGAGGTGTGTGCCATCAATTCCCAGCAAAATGAGCCTTTTTGATGAGATAATCATTTTCACTCTTTTTTAAAATCTTTTTTTAATGAATCATTGACAGGAGACTTCTTTTTTCTTATAGAGAATCTAGGCAGAGCAGCTGGCCCAGTACTCTCTCTATAGCCAAAGATGCTCTAAAAATTCTGTTCTTCTTACCTCCACTTTCCAAATGCTGGCATTACAGGCTGTGCCACCATATCCCACTCAATGAGACTTCTGGACACACACTTTCCTAATCAGTCTTAGGAAATGTTTTGGTATCTATTTACATTTTACTAGCTGGCAAAGTTTATTGAGCAAAACAGAAATTATATCAATCTTTAAAATTGCAGCATGTTTAAAAGTCCTCTTTAGAAAGGACTTCTAATAGAAAGAATGACTTTATGCTTATCATGAGGTTATTGGTGGCTGTCCTTTTAGAGTCTATCACTCAAATCAACCAACCAACCAGAAAACAACAGCAAACAGTGTCCTCCCTGCTCTTCCTTATGCAGTTCACAGCCAAGTCTAGAGCAGTGGTTCTCAACCTGTGGGTCACGACCTGTTTAGGGGTTGAAAGACTTTTTCACAGGGGCCACCTAAGACCATCTTGCATTTACATCTCATAACAGCAAAATTATAGTTATGAAGTAGCAACAAAAATAATTTCATGGTCAGGGTCATCACAACATGAGAAACTGCATTAAGGGCATTAGGAAGGTTGAGAACCACTGGTCTGAAGTAACCCTAGCACAGTGAAGTAGGAAACAGTTTGAGAGACAGGCAGATCTCCAGATGGCGGAAAGCCTGTCCAGTTCATCTCTGAGTGCCTGGTTCACTGAAACTCCAGGACCCTGTCTCAAACAGAAGGGTAGAGCCGAGGACACCTGCCATCAACCTCTAACCTCCACACATAAGAACATGGATACACACAATAAAAAATCCTCTTCAATTCATCTGGTTTAAGGGATGCACCATAAAAAGTTAATATTAAGTTTATAAGAAGTCATTCCAATTAACAATTTTATCTACCAACAAACTAATGCTTAGGATCTCACACAAGAAAGTTTTAGTAAGTCATGCATCTTTATAATTAAGTTTGAAAGCAGTAATCCCCTTCATTTTTCTCTAATACATATGAATTTCAGACAGTTCTAAATTGCCCTGAAATATTTTCCAATAAAACTGAGGTGCCTGACACTGAAAACTAGAGTGAGGAATCTGTATTATCTTGTGCACTCACATTCCTACAGTTGTCATGAGAGTATATGACTTATTTTTATAAGCCCAGGGACCAGTTGACTAACTTAAACACTCGTCTTAAACTTTGAACCATTTCTCTTTGGGCTCTATATTAGAAAATACAGACATGTGAACTTCAATAAGAAATCCTATCCATCCTTTATCCTAAAAGAACCATCAGCACTAGATGATTCTCACTACTGTGAGAATGACCAAATATCACACTATTAAGTCAGCTTGAGTCCATCAGTGCTTGTATAAAAATGACGTGGCCAAGCCATTAAAGTGACAAAGTTCACATTTCCCATAGAACGTAAGTTTTATGGAAATGGATCATAGCCTGTACAAGTAAACAAATGCCAATTCAGCAAATTCTTAAGAAATAGACTCAAAGTTCAGAAGCATCAGATTATTCAAAGTCCACATGGTTTCTTTATTAATAAGATCTAGTTATGAAAATCAACTCATTCTAACCATTGGCAATGGTTCTGACCCAGGTGTAGTACAAAAGAACCCATAACCTTAGAGGCATTTGAAGTTTTTAAAATACTGAGAATCAAATAGATTTACTACAGACAGGAAGGGTAAAATAAAGTTCAAACACAGAAATACTGCTAATCATATTGTTAATCAATTATCATGCTTCTCAAACTGGTTTTGACTGGGAGCAACTATCAATGGAGAATGAGGAGAAAAGATGGCATGGTGTCTCATCACAGGGACTCACACCCAAAAGAGCTGACTAGTACCACAGGGAACAAATGGAAACCAATTTTAAGAGGACATGAATACTAACAGCTGACATATAACTATTCTTCAAAGCAAACCTACTTCAAACTTAAGATCCTGATAATCATTCTACCATAAGGCCTTCAAAGCAAGCCATTATTTTTAATGATTTTAATATACAATGTGCTCCTTAAAACCAATATACTCGTTTCTCTGCTTTGGTATAGTTATCATTTCCGCAGACTGCAGTGTCCAGTATTAGCATCCAGCTCTAGAAGATTAACAGATTACAATACAGAGCAACTCCATGTGCACAGATGAAATTTTGGTTTCCGGTCATTCTTGAGCACATCTGTCATCAAGGTTCTCAAGTACATATCCTAAGACCTCCCTGTCAGTCCTCTGTTGCCACTTAGCTTTCTAAAGAAGTACTTAATAACAGCTGGTGCATCTGCCATCATATTTTAGCCTATCATACCAAAAAGCAGATACTTCAGCTATCAAGGAATAGAAAATAGCTAGGAGGAAGAAGCAAGATATGAAAGGGTTTGGAGGGATCAGGGGTGGGAGTGTTTTAAGAAAAGCATACAGCAACAGTAGGGAAGGTAGGAAGTATCTCCGAGGGTGATGACATCTGACTGCCAACAAGAAAGAAATGGGGATACAGTTTCAATGGAGGCTGAGGTACAGGCTGCTATAACTGCATCAGGTAGAACGAAATGGTAAATTCCCCATCAGCTATCCTGAGTCAGCCACAAGATTAAAAGGATGTTATTTGGGTTAAACTGTAGATATTTTAAATGGAAAGCAACAAATTAATTTTGCTTCATAGATACACCATGCAATGGATTTAACACATGAGTATACTTTGTCAAACACACCATTTAACATCAATGTGGACTGCTCAAACTTCAAAGTTAACAAAGTACGTTAATTTTTTAATAACATACTTGGTATTGCAGAATAAGACTACCTTCAAATCAGAGTATATTTATTCACCTTTATTAAAAATAACTGCATGGCACCAAGTTCAAAACAGTGACTGTCTCAGGGGACAGGAAAACACTAACTGGTCTGGTAATCCTCCCAAATCAGTACTTACAGTCAAACTTCAGGATCCAACACCCATTGAGAATTCCGAGCATACACTTCAGAGTACTTTGAGCTTCATCATCAGGAACAATGACATGAGTTACTAAGATTAAAAAAAAAAAAAAAAAAAAAAAAAAAAAGCATTAAGGAAAAACCAAAATAATTCCCTAGTGGAAGTCTATTTTATTAACTTACACTTAAGTTTTCATCAAAGGCAACTTCTACATTGAGTATAATGTTTCTTTTACTCAGTACTTTTAACTTGGCCATCACCATGAAAAATAGATCGTAAGAATATATGAACAAATACAATTTTTTCAACTATTTTCAAATGACTTGTGGTACCACACTGCCTTATACTTTACTAACAAACTCAAATCTGCGCTTCTGTAGTGCTCCACCCTAAAGTACACACAAGGCGGAACTTTACATTTCCTGGTAAGGATGCAGTTGTGTAGCAGTGCACTTGCCTACTACTAAGCACTTGCCTACTACCAAGTGAACAGCCTGGGTTTTATCCCCAGGATCCCAAAACAAGCAAAATAAACACTTCCCAATTCCTAAGTACATTAGAACTATACAGTATAGAAACACTGTAGATTACAAGATGTAAAATATATAACCATAACCCAATGCTTAAGACTTACACAAATTATCAAAGGTCACTCTTTAAAAGGACTAACTTAAAATTATTTGCGGCCAAAAGAGAAAGATAGAGACACAGACAGAGAGAGAAACCCAACACCTCACCTGTACTATCAAACTCAGCACATCTTTTAGCCTTGAGAACTGTCTCAAGTTTGCTGAGCATTTTCTGCTGTTGGGAAGAAAGCCCACTGCCTATAAGAACCAGTGGCCCATTCCTTCGCTGTTCAGCAGTCACCTGTTAGTGAAAAATGGAGAAGCACCATGGTAAAAACACACAAAGAACACAGAGAGAAGGTACACACCCACCAGACAGGGGATTTATTTTATGAATTGCCTTGCTCCAGCTAATAATCCCCAGTAATTCCTACTGAATCAGTAACCATAACTCTAGTACTCAATCCATTTGACTATTCTAATAATTATTTTCCTTCCAAGTCAGCTGGAATAGCTCTCTTCATGCAGGGAAGCTTTTCCTGATGCTGAACTGGATTCCTGTATAGTTCCATAATTTCATTCTGCCCCCAAAAATCTAAAACAGTCATTTAAAATGACCAATTTCACATCCCTCTTCCAAAGAGTTAAACCCAAACTTGGTTAACACAGTTTAAGTTAAAATCATTTTCAAAATACAGCACTAATTCTAAAGAAAATTAATTTTTTGACACTGAAACAAAAAGATGAGCATGGGCAAGAGAATTGAAGAGTACAGAAAGCAGATCTGCAAATAGGAGGGAGTCCCGTTGCTCATAAGAAGGAAGGGCTAGCTTACAAAGACTTATGTTTTCAGCTCAACATCTCCACTCAGCATTTACAGGAGACAAACAGCACTGGTGGACATGTGAGATGAGAAAAGACGACTGAGGGGAACAAGGACACAGTGGAGCATGCAAAAGACTGAACACACAGAACTAGAATTAGACAAAAGCTGCCTGTAATGGAGGAGGAGTGATCCAGAGATGAAAACGCAAAACCAGCATTCCTGCACTAAGAACAAGACAACACATACAACACAAGACACTGTGCCTCTGCATGCATTGAGTACAGACGTGCACTGGAAAGCTGGGGTGCTCTGCAGAGCAAAGGCACCATCGCAGTTCAGCAACTGAGAGGAAGCTAGTATTTACACATTAACTTCCCGTATCAGAACTGATAATGCACTCACACTCTCTATACATGACAGCTAAGCTATACATGAGACAGCTGAACCCAATTCATTCACAGTAAATTAAATGAGATCTAGTATACAGTACATAAGTACACAAAGATACCATGACAAGTTTGTTTTTTTTTTAAATGACAAAGCTTGGCAACTAAGTTCAACAAGCTTCATTTACCCCCTTATGGCTCTGATAACAAAGGTTTGACTAGACACACAAACATTGACATATTCCCACATAAATGCCTTATTCTTTCTGTAAGAAAACACAGCCAAGACAAATCCAAACAGTGTAAATACTCTGTAACATGAAAATAGTTCAGTATATTTTTATAACTGTTCAATTACAATGTATTAAAAATCAATTGTCAAAGTTGTGCAGCTTGGACAATCTATGGGGCCACTAGAAATGGGACTGGGATTTATCCCTAGGGCTTCTTGGAGACCATTCTCTTTGTAGGGATACTCTGCTTAGCCTAGATATAGGGGGAGGGCCTTGGTTCCGCCTCAAAGTGATATGCCAGACTTCACTAACTTCCCCTCTCTGAGGAGTGGGGGGGGGGCGGGGTGGCACAGAGGGAAGGTGGGAGAGCAGGGGGAAGGGAGGGAGTAGAAACTGGGATTGGTGTGTAAAATAAGAAAAGATTGTTTTAAAATAAATAAAAAAAAAGATTTTTAAAAAAATCAACTGTCAAAAATTATTCTGTTAAATAAGTGCCATCAAAATAACTCTTGCTTCTTGATTTACATGACTCCACTTTAAATTAGTTCTTTGAATAAAATATAAGAGTGAAAATATAGTATTTCTAAATATAGCATACAATACTATTTGGGCCGACCAAGGAAAGTATCGAAGTGGGTCAAATGTTTTCCTATCATAGTCTTTTTTAAAAATTTGCATAAAATAGAAAATCTGGTACTAATTTCTTATAGTTAAGGAATGCTATAATAAAACAAACAGCTGCCAAAGCCACATGTCAACTTGGGATTGTACATCATAGGGACTGCATGTTTAATTCCAGAAAGGAGATCTTGAAGCCATAGTGTTCAAAAGAACCCAAAGGTAATAAATAACTTCACTCTATAGAGACTTACAGATTATGTTTCTTGGCATTAAATAAACTCAAAACTTAAATTCAACATGGTATTTTTCTTAGATAAAATTGTTATTATTAATAAATTTATCAAGCATCTAAAAAGAGGACTAAAAAGATGGCTCTAGGGGAGGAGGAGCTTGCAGCCAGGGCTGACAACCTGAATTTGATCCCCAGGACCCAAGTGGTAGAAGGAGAGAGTGATTCCTGTTGCCCATCTTCTGGCCTCTACATGTTCATATGGTATGTGAATATCTAGGCATACATACACACTCACATATAAAAACACAAGCAAATACAATAAAAAAAAAAATCAGGAAAAACTAAAAAGGATAAACATGCTGCTTAACAGACCATGGGCAGAGAAGTCCCTAAATGAACATGGCAGGAAGCTTTTGTTTGCTTCTCAGCCTCAAAGCAAGGCCAAGTCTTACTCGAAACACAATTCTGAATGACACACAGATAGATTAAATCACACCAACTTATCACCTTTACCCACCTGAAGGAGCTACTCAGTACAGCTTGTAATATAAATACAAGGATTCTAGATTCCACTATTAAGCAAGTGTACATCATGTGGGAAGCAGCGCACAAGGCACACACCACTCTCAGGCATGAAAGCTTGCTCACAGTCAACACACATGTAACCGAGCACTCAATACTTACCACACTGTTCTCCATGCAAAGACCTGTTGTAGTGAACCAGTCCCTGACCTTACACAGTTTATATTCTAATGGGGATGAGAAAAATAAACCAGAGGAAGAGCATGATGCCATTTCTCAACTGTATGGTAAAAGGTGAACAGCACTGGGCGACTGCTAATTTTAGTAAATGATCCATATCTAGGGATGTAGCTCAGGGATGGACTGTTTACCCAGTATAAATAAATAAATAAATAGTTCACAGGTACAATTAGGTTTGAAAGGTGTAAGGAAGTGGGACAGAAGGACAGTGGCTTCTCAAATCTGTTCTTGGTAGAGAAAATAGCTAAGCTTAGGACCTGAAAGGGAACATACTTGATAGACTATAGAGCCAGTAAGACAGCCGGGTTGAGAAGTAAAGTCTGGTGGTAACTAGGGGCATCACACCCTAGATCTTACCTCTTAACAACCACATATACTCTACCATCTCCATTCACACAGACTTGTTTATCATCCATTAGCCTACATATCAATCACTAAGAATAAATAAGACTGGTCATGGTGTTGTACACCTCTTACTCTTTGAGGCAGAGGCAGTTAGGTTTCCAGGCTATCCTGGGGTACATAATGAATGAAAGCCTACCTCAAAACAACAAAAAGACTAACAATAAAGGCCACAGAAAGTGTATGTTTCTTAAATTTCAAAATAAAAATCCTTTTCTCAAGGTGATTACCATAATGAGCCTCTAAGAATACCATAGAGGTTTCTGTATTCCAGACACATTTAAAATAATCTATGACGACAACTTAAATATACTATGTTCTGGCAGGGAATTCTTCAAGTACAAATGAGTAAAATAAGTACCAATCTATAAAGTATGGTGGAACTGAATGAGAGCTGACCTAAGACTTAAGAAATCTGAGTTCTAGCTGGTCCATAAAAAATGTTTTAATGTCTGGTTAATAATCCTGGGCAAATCATGACCTTTCTAGGTCTCAGTTTTCCCATTTTTAAAAGGAAGAAATTAAAGTGCTGACTTCTAGGTCCTTTTCATTTCCCAAACTGTCATCTGGAACACATTTATCAGAATTCAGTCTAAATCAAAAGATAAGGTTTCTCAGGGTATAAAGGTAACTACCACACGAAATTATGAAGACCTCAGGCTAGATCTGTAGCTGAGCAATGGCATCAGTCACTACAAACTGTCCTTTCTGCAGAAAAGTCATGGCTTCATCTCCACCTGACAAGAGCCAGCAAAGCAGCCTGGGTTGAGTGAGTAGAGTGTGGTAATGATTAGAGGTACCACATCCCAGATGTAAATTACCTCTTAACAAATGCATATGACCTACTATGTCCACTTACACAAATGTGTTTATTACCATGAGTTTCCGTAGCCACCTATCAGTCATTAAGACAACAGGAAAGCATGTCACACTATTGCAAACCCAACATTTAAACACAAGTGAAAATACAGTGAAATCCCTGTACGCGTGTCTCCTTTCCATCCTCCTCTCACTACCATCACCCCGAATTTCAGGCCCCATTAATCCAAGCCTTTACCCCAGCAGCCTCCACTCAACCTGAGTTTCTTCTGACTCCAAGCTATCCTACAGAACTTGTTCCAGGTATAAACATACTAATGATGCCCCATTAAATCTAAAGTCCCTATTAAGGAAACTAGGCCTTTCATACATAGACTGATCCCAATCTAGCTTTGCACCCTAAAACTACTTTAACATTCCTCATGCTCCTTGCACACTAAACCCTGTAGCTGTCCTTTACATGTCTGAGGGCTTTTTATACGCTTCCTTTCCTCTCAGAAGCTGTAGCAGTGGACAGTGCTGGCTTTCCACACACAACCCATTCTACACTAAAAAGACAGAATTTGTTCAGGAAGCCTCCTTGCAAGATCAACCCCATCTCTCTCCCTCGATACATCAAAAACAGTATGCAGCCAGTTCTAACCAATAAAGCACAGGAAAGATCTCAGTGAAGGTTCCAAGAAAATGCTTTGATAGCCTCTTCTGGCCACTGTCCCATGTGGATTGCAGCAACTATCCTACAGGCACAAGGATGGCAAGTAAAGGAAAAAACATGGGTTCTCAGTGCAGTCACAACTGCTGCCAATGGGATGATCTTTGTAACAGTCAACTGTTTCTGATTAGGAGTTTTCTGTCATTTTCCACACCAGCATCCATCAGCTCTTTCCCTCAGACACCCTCTGTCACCCTCTAGAAGTCCTTCTTGACAGCTTCTGAAGTGAGATTACTTGTCTGTACTGCACGTTAGAGTTTTTTCACACTTCATTGCTTACATTACAATCTGTAACACACTTTTTTACATTTGTATCTTCCACTTGGCTATAGGTTCCCAAGGAGCGGGTCTTCTTTCCACCATGCCTCTAGTTTGTACCTTTTATCTAATTCCAAGGCTCACATATCCAACTACTATTTAACAGCTCCATTCAATAGATGTAAAATTGGCACAGAGGATGAAGGATCCCCTTTGCAATGCCAGCAAATGGCACCAGTGACACTATCTCTACTCATTGCCCACTTGTCCTAGAAAATCCAAGAAAAGTACTGTTGGGAAAAATCAGACACTGAACTTTACCATTTCTTTCTTACAAGCCTTCAGTGCCATTCACTTAGTTTGCGTCATACTGGCACTTGCTTGTCACAAAGCTAAATGGTATTTCTCCCACTCTTGCACACTCCACAGAAATCCTTTTTAAATCAAAAGAGCAAATACTCAGAACAAAATTCAACTCCTGTTTCTCCTGTACTCTGAAACCTTTCAATGTTTCTATTCTCAGACTCTTACTATCTCCAGCAATTGCTAACTCTGTAATCTCCAAGCATGTCCATTTCATCTATTTGAGGGTCTCTATACAATGTCCTTTATGTGGCCACCTGACTGCCTCCCATCATAATTCAAGTTTTAGTTCAAACTGCCTCTTAAAAGGCCCTCACTAATGCAGTGTCCTTCAGGAGGCTAGCACATCCCCCCAGGTACACAATATAAAACTACCCTGAAAGCATTCGTGTACCCATTTCTGAAATGATTGCATTCGCAATTTACATACTCACAGACCATTTTGTTCCTCTACCTCTAACTGGCAAGCAAGTTCCCTGAAATAAGTTGCTTTAGTCGCATTCATTTTTATATGGATGCTGCCTAAAACACAAAGGATTCAATAAATATTTCCTGATAGATGTATTCTGAGTATGTCTTTGAATCCATATTAGTCAGTACTCCAGAAGTGCATAATAATTGGTGAATGAAAGCTGTCTGCTAACTGGAAGCTTTCCTATTATGGTCCTTTCATAACCAAGTTCAATAAAGGATATAAATGTCCCAAAGTTAAATCCATACTTACGACTGAGCACTTGCTAGTTGAGGATGATTCATTCTTCTCCGGTAGCAGCAATAATGATCTTATATTTTCATTGTCTGTATAATCCACAGGCCGTACACCAAATATGTTACTGGTAAAAACAAGTACAGATGTGTTTAAGTAAATAAAATGTGTAACTTCCTTCTTACCAAACAGAAGTATTTCCACAACTATTTTTCAATAACACACAATTGTAACTAAAGTGACTCAGAGTTCACTTAGTCATGAGGATCTACTGTCAGTGAAGAAGCAAAGAAGGAAGCCAGCCTACCTGCATCCTCTAGGGACTCAGCATCCTGCTGAGGACCCAGGGTCCCACTAGTTCTTTCCTGCAGCCCCTTTTACCCTTTCATTGTGGCCCATCTCCATTCTTCTGTGATGCCGCTGACCCACAGAAGCGCTTTCTACCAGATTATCCCCAGTGTCCACACTAGGTTGGGACTAGGTAGGCAACCTTTATCCTCCATCCTGTTCTCCATTAAGGTCTCTCCAGGATTACCTTTAGTCTCCCTGCAGCCTATCCACAAGAGCACCTCCTCCTAGGCCAACTCCATTTCCCTAAGGGCTTGGGCTCTTAACGTAGACCCAGGTTCCTCTAGTTCTTTCCTGTGGCCCCTTTCAGCCTTTTCTTCTATTCCATCTCCACTGCTGAGACTCCCCTCCAACCTGTAGAACATCAGAGACCCCAAGGCTAGGGCCCAGAATCACTCCCTACCAGGGACTCCACAGCCAACCACATTAGCTACGACTAAGAGCCTCCTCACAGCCCATCCCCATCCCCTAGGGACTTGGCCTCTTAATGTAGACCCTAGGTCTCCCAAGTTCTCTAGACAATGAAAAGATAGCAAGGAGGCACAAACAGAAAAGGAAGAAATCAAAGTATCTTTATGGTCTCTTTTAGAGGTGTGACCCTAACATAGTGATACTGGGAGACTTGAATACCCACTGTTGTCAATGAACAGGTCATATATTATCACTCAAGACAATAGTCAGACAAAACTAATACTGTAGATAAGTAACATCATAAATCAAATGGACATAGCAGACATTTATAGAACATTCTACACAAACACTAAAGAATATACTTTCTTCTCATCAGTCCACAAACTTTCTCCAAAACTGACCATAAATTATAGCAAAAATCAAACCTTAACAGACAAAAAAGTTGAAATAACACTGGGCAACTTATCTGACCACTATAGGTTAAACTTGGGTATCAACCAGAGAAACCACAAAAACTATAACTCTTAGAAGCTGAACAACTTCCTACTGAATGGGGAAAAAAATGGATGAAGATAAAAATCAAAGCGGTAAATTCACAGCACTAAGTGCCTATAACAGAAATTTGAAGGGATCTTATAGTAGATCTTATAACTCAGCAACACACCTGAAAGCCCTAGAATAAGAACTTAACACCCTAAGAGCAGAGGGCAAGGAATAATTAAACCCAGGACTAAAGTCAATGAAATAGAAACAACAACAAATATAAAGAGTCAATGAAGCAAAACTTGAGTGGGTAAGGAGGTAGGGAGACTCTGGGAGGAACAGGGGAAATAATATGATCAAATACATCCTCTAAAAATATTTTAAAATAAAAATTTTAATGGAAATTTTCATTTTGATACCAATAATTATAGGAAGTATCTTTAACTGAATATAACTTACATGTGAACTTCGCACAATTCTCTTTTTTATTCATATTTTTATTTCCTAGTCATTAATCACCATGGGTGACATGCTTTCACGTGCAAACATAAATCCAATTTACTAAAGCTATTATAGGTGCTAGTGTCTATATATAAACAAATACAAATTTAGATGTAGCCATAGGAAAGCCATTGGGACCTACTATAAGGAAAACTACATTACAGAAACAAAAATACAATGAATGGGAAACCAGCATAGGGCTGACCCAGACCCCCTGAACATGGATGTCAGTTAGGAGGACTGGACAGTCTATGGGACCTCTGGTAGTGGATCAGTATTTATCCCTAGTATACAAATGGACTTTGGGAGCCCATTCCACATAGAGGGATACTCTCTCAGACTAGACACACAGAGAGGGCCTAGGCCCTGCTCCAAAGGCTATGACAGACTTTAAAGATCCTCCGTGGAAGGCTTACCCTCCCTGGGGATCAGAAAGGGGTTGGGATAGGGAGTTGCGTAGGAAGGGGAGACAGGGAAAAAGAGGAGGGAGAAGGAACTGGGACTGACATGTGAACAAGCTTGTTTCAAATTTAAATTAAAAATAATAGGGTACTTTTATATATGTGTGTGATTGTATGGGGGGATGTGCATATGTGTGTGTATTCTATAAATTATAGCCACTGTAAAGCAAACTGGTGTGGTTCAGAGAACAGCCTAATGCAGACTTCTGAATGCATACATCTTTACACTTCACAGCGTTATATACTAGAAGAAATTTTAAAGATCAAAATACGAGCCCATCATTTCAGACTATAAAACAGCACAACAGGTTCCAATGATCTATTTAGGTCACATTTGCCTTGTATTCTTAGTAACATTCAACATAGCCCATGCTTAACAAGTCCACTGTAAATAATTTGTCAAAGCTACAACACTTAGTCAACCATTCCTCTTCTCTAAGAATATTTCAAAATCTATTTTAATATACCATACTTTTACAACGAAGTTATCTTTTATGATCTCTTACACTTTTTAAGAATATGGTATGTATATATTCCATTAAAGTTCACGAGGGCTGAGTATATACCTGTGTGGTTCAGCGCTTGTCAAACATGCACAATACCTAGACTTAATCCCAAACACTGAAAACAAAAGTGAAAACACAATGTGTTAAATGGGAAACAAAAATATTAACAAGGTACTATACCAATTTTATAACTTTGAGTGTATAGAAAAACGTCTTAACGAAAAAAGAATGAAACATTAAGGGAAGAAGGAAAGTGTCAATTTTGTTTGATGAGTCACAGAAGTCATACACATAACAATCTAAGGCTCTCCGAGTCAATGACTTTAGAGAAAGCTATTATAATGGCATCTTGGGAAAACAGAGCTAGTGGATTAAGATAAGAAATGAGCCACAGCAAATCTCTCATGACAGCTATTCATGACACCGGGCTCAGTTGCGTCTTCTTTCAGCAGTACTGACTAAACAGTGACAAGGCTGCATACTCAGGTTCCCCTTTAGGCCCAGGACACCATACACCACTCATTCCCTGACAACGTTTTTTTTAATCCAGCCAAGGTAAAAAGCAACTGCATTTTAGGTTCTTGATTTACACCAATGTGACACAAGCCACTATTTACAGTTAGAGCAAGCAATGTCAGGCATTGCAAAAGGATCTCATCTACTCTACTGGAGACTTCTCAATTTCAAATACAAATTTATATTCATATTGCTTACATACCAACTATACTGCCTCCTCATATACATATGCTACAAATGAAAACCACAAAATAGAAGCATGATTTGAAAAATCAAGATTCCAATCCTTTTGTCATTACTGTTGGTTTTGTTTTGGTTTGGTTTGGTTTTTCAAGACAGGGTTTTCTCTGTGCAGCTTTGGAGCCTATCCTGGTACTCACTCTGTAGCCCAGGCTGGCCTCAAACTCTGCTTCCCAAGTGCTGGGATTAAAGGCCTGCACCACCTCCGCCTAGCAAGATTCTAATTCTTAAGCCAAAATGTATAATCAAAGTCAAAGTATTTGTTTTTATTTAAAATATATATATATAGTCTAACACATGAGGACTTTCTAACAAGTACAAGATTTTAGACCTCAGAGAAAAACCTTAGTGAAGTGAACTTAACACACTAACTGATGACATCAACATATTTATTTATAATAGCAGAAGTAAAAATCCCCTATGACAACATGAAAAATTGCTAAATGAAGTACTTCACAACATATCACTGCCATAGTGTGACTATGGCAGAATTCCATATAAATAAATGGTCTGGAGCAATCAAATACACTGAAGAATTTCTTCACAAAGTTCCTAGCAGTTATTACAGAATGACATGATACAGATACCACAGGTACTGGAACGGTTTAGCCCAGTCCTGCTTAACCAAGATGTGGTCTATAGCACTCTGTGATAATTTTGCATTTTGTTGTCAACTTCAGAAATATGGAGACACAGGTTTACCAGTAGAAACTTAACCACAGCAAGCAAACATGAGGTATATTCCATTCTTCTTATGTGGGTACATACAAAATGTGCTCTTTCCCTAATATTTGAATGGATTAATACTGGTTATAGATATAGTGTGAACAATTAATTTACATATTCACCTTATTTATTCCCTTTGAGTAAAGTAGATATCTGAAGGAACATAACACACTGTTGCCTATGTTAGTCACTAACACAGAACAGAGGTAAATTAGTTATCCTACATCTTTGTATAAGAAGTTTTTTTAAGATTATAACATATTAACTCAAAATAGACACAATTTATTATTTTATTGAAAAGGACAAGGAGATTGCACAATGATTCTTTTCCAAATATAAATGCAGCATTCTCTATTTTCTGGCATGAGGCATAATAAGCCTTAACACTCATATCAAGTATCTATCTAGAATAGAGTGTAGCAAACTTCCCTTCTCCACACACCACTGAAAGCAAACACTAACTCAAACAAATATGAAACTGGTCAAGTATAGATCAAAGGTTAGTAATGAGATGAAATGTAGGTAAAGAATACACAATGGCAAATGAAATGGCCTTGGGCCAAGACTGGAAATTGGCATGTGGTAGATGAATGTGAAGAACCTGAGAAGGAAATTAACAATATGGCTGCTAAAATGTATGCACCAGATGGAAAAAAAGCCTTCTACTTCTAGGGAGCTGAACTCTTCCCACTATATGAGCGTATGTGGTGGGTAAATACAATAGAAGAAACTGATAACAATTATCAGGCAGAAGGCAACGAACATTAGAGAAGAAGACAACACAACTGTGAAAATGTAAAAGCAAGTGTGCCTGGGTCAGTGCAATAGCAACAATAATTAATGTATTTCCAGAATACAGGTTTTTAATATTATGTGTAGTTCCTGACAATATACTAATAACTTCCACATATATCACCTCTAACAGTTTCTTTAATGTCTTATATCAAAGATAATCTCATAAAAGACAGTGAACTCCAAGAGATAACATACAGTAAATATTCTTCAGGCATTACAAATTCTTATAAAAATGCTGGTTAATAAAATTCCTGGCTACTGAAGCATATCCTATGATCACTGGCCAAAACCCTACCTTTTTTTATTAATTTTGTCTACTGGTTTATAGCACAGTATATTAGCAGGTTTTACTATTTTATTTCCTTTAGTGTATGCCTGCCCTGATATTTTTATTAGGGGTGGGTGTGTGTGTGTGTGTGTGTGTGTGTGTGTGTGTGTGTGTGTGTGTTCTTTTCCTTCCTATAGGGGTGGGTGGGTGGGTGGGTGGGTGGGTGGGTGTGTGTGTGTGTAGACTGTAGACCAGAGGACAACTGGCAGGAGCTGGGCTTTTCCTTCTTTTCCTTCCTATACGCCGACCCTTTAAATGGATCTCATACTAATCAGGCTTAGAGGTAAGCGCCTTTCCCTAGTGCCACTAGCTATTTTATTGGCCCTTTCCCTTACTTCTGTTGGGTAAACTCATAGACATCACCCTCCCTCTGCTTCCCAAGTGATAGGATTAAAGGTATGAGCCATATGAGACACCATGCCTGGCTCTTTCTGGAACTTAAATCATAGTGTGGAAAATACATTTCATCTAAAAGTTTTAAAGACAAAGATAAGGACTTTACATTTTCAAGCTTTCTCAGAAGATCTAAGTGTTCCTAAATTACTGTGTTTTGCTACGTAATAACTAGGAAACAATCAAAAAGCCCTGCAAAATCAATATTACTGAAACACACTGACTATAAGACTGTATGAAATAAATAGCATATATGTGTCTATGTGATATAATAAGCAACCATTTCTGTAGTTTACACTCAAAGAGTATGCGTATACACACATATAGATGATAACCATTGCTACGCAATCAGTTTGAAAAATATTCATTCAACAAGGTGGGTTTTCCCTCTCTTTTGGGCACTAAGGAACTAATATAATCTTGATACAATTCAATGAGAAGCACACTGGGAGAACTTTTAAGTGTTGTGAAAATTTATAGAGCTAAAAGGGGTACAGAGGCAGAATAGGAGTACTCTAAGCAGAGAGAAGGATGTGTGGGCACTATGTGATTGTCTAGCAAATCAACAATCCTGAAAATGAGGGAGGAAGAGAGAAAACAGATAAGGGAGGGTAGAAGGTGGAGCACACTTGTTTGAGAAGCTGGAGTTATGACCCGATTGTGAAACAGTAAGAGACAGTGTTAAAGGGTGGATGTTTCTCCTACAGCAACAAGACCCTGAACAGGAGGAACAGCGTGGTTGTGCATGATAGCTAGGAGCTGGGTTATAGAGAAACACTGCCCTCGGGTCTAGAATCGTTGGGCCTTACAAAAATTATGTCAACCTCTACTGCCTGTTTTCCACCTGTAAAATGGAGCTGATACAGCTCATTTTCTAAGGCTATTAGGAAGACAAAATGAACTAATAAATTAAAAGACCATAAGACATTGCCTAGCAGATAGTACCAGTTCAGTGACTGTAAATACTGCTGGATTTGCACTGTTGAGAGACTACAGAATAAAAATGGGAATAAGAAAACATGGTAGGTTATGCTTGGAATACCAATCATACCATAGTTTCCTCCATTTGATGATACATTGCATGATCAATAAGGGAAAATATATCACAGCATGCTTTTTTAATGAAAATGAGAAATGTCCATTTCCCTGTATGATATCATCTGAAAATAAGAGTATTGAGACAGGAACTGAAAAGCCTTTCTTGGCCAGGATTCTTTCTTGCCACCAAGACTGATTACAAAGATGAGCTTCACTTCTTGAAGAGTTAAGATGAGGTGTTTAATGTGTCAGCTATACCCCATATAAGGCAGTGTTCAGACAACAATAAAATTCTTTAATATCCTTTCCCATATAGGAGTGACATAGTAGACACCTACCTAATAGCTGTGCCCTGAATCAGCTGTAGCAACAGGAAAAGTAAGGAGAGATGAGCAAATGAAAATTTATTTCTGCAAGTGCAGATCACCCAACATGCAGAAACATAAGCTAGGTATTTTTACTAAAACTAAACCTACAGGGCATGACAGAATGTTAAGAGAGTCGATGAATGGAATCCTTTATCAACAATTATAAAACTGTATTCACAAAGACTTAATTTTTCACATTACTTTGCTTGCTATGAGCAGGCAAAAGCACAATCTTTCAAAAGAGCAACATGTTTTTGCATGCCATAAAACAGTTACCTTTTCTGTAGAGGATTCATTCTTTTAAACATTTACTAGGGCAGGAAGACAATTAATAGGTTCATTGGTCCATATAATATTTTTCTACTTGAGAATGCAACATCCATCCAAGGAAAAGTTAACAGCAGACCAAGCATTGGTTCCACATTTGAAAAAGAAAGCTAGCATGCCTTCCTCACAACACATTCCAAACAGTTCTAATGTGACAGCATGAATTCAAAGGATAAATCTACCCTATTAAAACCGTTATCCAACATCAATCTCAACTTCGGTTCCCAAATACATCCTCCTCCCCAATTGCCCTACCTGCACCAGCCACCTGACCAACAGAGCAGGCACTGCACGCATGTGCTATTTAAATGAGTAAAAATTCAGCACCTTTAAAGACTGTTTCTGAGTAGTGGTTTTCAAGTGTCTATAAGATATAGATGGCTACTGGCTCATCAACACCAAACACTAACACATAAACATTTCCTTTACTCTGCAAAGGTCTACCAGACAGTGCCTAACTGTGTCTACTTGTGTCACTTTGCTAGGGCAGGCCACTTATTACAAAATGGCAGACACCTGATCTCTGAGACAGCACCTGTGAAGGCATACTCATTCCCTGTCCCATGCCCACTCCTTGTATATTAAGGGGTCCTCACAGTACAGTGAAGAATCATGGTGTACAAACCACAAGACAGGCTCTGTGCTTTGGCTCATTAATCCTCACTATGCTCTGAAGAAATAGAAAAGCAGCAGGCAGCACCCATGTTTTATAGGTGAGGACACCAAAGCACAGAAATTAACCTGCCTGCGGCTATAAAGTCAATAATAGAGTCACAAATAAAAGTTGGATTCCCTAACACCATGACCAGTGCTCCATTCATTAAAGTAGTCACGGCTGATTTAAGAACCCTGGGATGGAAGGTACTTGGTTTCACCTGACCCAAGCAACCATTTGCTTTATCAAATGGCTCACTATACCCACAGGAGGGTCATATTTGTAAAGTCTTCACACACACACACACACACACACACACACACACACACACACACACACACACACACATATATATATATATATATATATATCCTCTGAGATTCCTGAATACAAATACACACATATTTTCCCCCAAATGCTTTACAATTTGTGATGGGAATCAAAGCAGTCCTGACACGCTTAATGAAGCTCGAAGTTCCAGGTTATGTTACATTCTTCATTAGTGATTTATTTCTCAATTGTGTGAAGTGGCTACCTATTAAACATTACAAGTCAAAAGATCTACATGGTATGGTTCTTACATGTCTTTCTACCAAGGGAGAGGCTTTTGTTGGGCTCCTTTGAAGCCAACAAATTCAATGAGGACACAGAGAAGCAATTCTTGCATTTTCATTTCAACTACCTAATTAACAGAAGAGTAAAATAACATATAGGGAGACAGGAGCCAAGTTCCAGATTAAAGATATAAAAATCTGCATACAGCATTTGTTCAAGATACTCTTGACAATAGCAGTTTTAAGATGCAGCCGCCAGCATTCACTGATGCTCCTCTGTGCCCTGACACTGCAAAACAATTTACTCAGAGCCTCATTTGAATAATGTGAAAAATCTGAGAGATAATTCAACTGTACTTGCCCAATATCTGAATTCTTACACACTTTAACTTTTGTTGGGCTAATATGCAGAAAAGGCTAACAGAATATTTAAAATGAGTCTAAAGTATTAAATACCACAAAAAGTTAAATATCTAATTTGTATTAAGTATAAAAAATTAAGTACCATCTAGTTTTTTATTAAATATGATTCAATCTACAGAAATAAACCACTAAGTGAATCTGTCTATGAAACCAAGGTTTCTAAAAGTAATTGATATTGTTTCTGAAAAGAAATCTCCTTCAAATGCATGAGTTTTGAGGAAGAGAGCTTGAGTATGGACTCTAACATGCACACTAGTCACTATAACTAACTTTACCTGTGAAAGATGAGAGACCAAAATGTCAACTTGGGTAGTAGTTATTTCTTCAGGACATTCCTTGATGCAGCAACATAAACCCATTTTGAGAACTGCAGGCAACTACTTACACAGCATTCCTGGAGGCGCCATAGGACAGTAACACCCTGACGATGTCCACATGGCCGTTCTTGGCCGCATCATGCAGTGGTGTATCATTCTGATAGCCTGTGGTGTTCACCAAAGCATTATGCTGGAGCAGCAATTCCACTACCTTTAGGTGCCCATGACTGCAGGCTTCATGCTAATCAAAAGTAAGTTTTAAAGGGGGAAGTGGGAAGAGGATGGAAGGGAAAAATGTATTAATGAATATACTTTAGAAAAATTGAGAACATCAAGTCAGTAAAGTTATTCTTATATAACTACTTTCAAACCTTAGGCTGTTGACAAAGTCAAAGCCACTAATCGCCATTTTCATGGTAAAATATACAGTGACAAAAATCTGTGTACTTCGTAGGAAAGTACAAGCCTTTGATCACATGCTTTTCTTTTTTAAATGTGCTTTAAGGCAACTACGGCTGTGAAATGTTTCTACAATAATTTTACAACATTAGGAAAAAATCTCTTAAATGTGCAACAACCAGACCACATACAGAGCTGGAATTCTCCAAGGCTGAGGAGAATCCAGTTTTTCAATCCATGTACCAAAAACTGTACACCAACATTCCCACATAACCACCAAGCAAAGTGATACTCTAGGACGATTTACAAGACATGTTCTCTTTGCTGATGGGTACTACTGGGTATTTGGTGTCAGTGACAACAGCAGTAACAAGGGGTGACTTTCAAATGCACTTTCTGAACAGACAAAAATGATGGAATTAGTAACAAAGAAAAGAGCAAGGGAGTTAAGAAGACTAAGACAGCTAACCTTCCTAAACAGTGTTAGCTAGCCTGTGGAACATGATGAATTGAATCCTGATTATGCCCTCTTGGCCTAAGAATTTGTCAAGAAATCATTTTATATGTACTATACACTTATTTTAACACATATAAATATTACATATATATTATACCTTTAAAGCATTTTTGGTACCTGGTCTAATGGGTCTCATTTCTCTGCTGAAATTCTAGTTTACAAGATAAAGGCACCATCCTCCCTTGTGGACGCTTTGCGGCTGCATTATAACCCAATGCTTACTGTCTTCATTAGCCCATGTTCAAAGTGGTTCCAAGTGTGTTTTCCACTCTTTTCTCAGACTATTCTTCCCATTGCAATTGATGACAGCAATAGTGAACAGACTTTTTAAATGTTTACAATAAAGCCTTCTACTGCTACTGCCTCAATTTTTACTAGATGTATAAGAGGCAAGATCCAGTACTCAATGGTCATCACATTCCATCCTTCCAACTACTCTGTTCCATGAAACCAAAAATCTCTCTGGTTCCAGTGGCATGCAATGACATACAATGCAGCCTGATGTCCATTGTAGGTAGCAGCTACCACCACACATGAGCTGACTTCCAACAATGCAGTGAAACTGGACTCCTAAATCTAAAAGTACTCAAAAGGTAACCAATTACTTTCCTGTCACAGCTGAAACAGCTAGATGAAAAATAACTTTCTTTTTATACTTGGTCAAAACATAAATTCTTCAGACTAAAGAGTGTCGGTGGCAGAGCATGATATATGAACAACCACAAAACCATAAACTAGAACCATAAGCATAAAAAAGAAAGAATGAAAAAACAAAGAGATCCCCAACACTGCAAAGATACACAAAGGAAAACTACCAACGGTGTCCATCCAGCATGGTCTTTAACATTGGGGTCGTTTCCATTTTGCAAGAGGTATTCAACAGAAGATATATCACCCTGGTAGAATAACGAAAAAAAATTAAAGGACATTAAAATATATCATGAATGAAATAAAGCTACTGAGGCTTTGTTTTTATAATTCTGTCTTCTTCAAGGCAAGTGAGTCTTTCCCTTATGCCATGACTGGTGCTCATGAGACAAGAAATATTATCTGTCTCTAAAGTCCTGAGATGCCAAGTCATTTTGTCTGTACTTGAATATTACTAACAAACCATATTGAAAATTCAGTTCAAGATACAAAATGAAGACTTCTAGCCAGAGACTACCCTAAATTTCATCATTTTGAACAAACATGAAAATAACTTTTGAGCATTAAAATAAAAAAAGCTGTTTACAGCAAAAAAACTAGCTAATGCAACCAATGTTAAAACTGCCAAAAAGTCCTGCTTTATTGGCAGTTACTCTATTTACCCTGAGTCACTAATTTAGTTTATAGTCACTTTATTTGCACCAAAGGTACCTTCATGGCAGAAGCAGATGCTGTTTAAAATGCCAGGAAACGGATTGGGAGAAACAGTCATACAACACACAAAATTAGCATTACATTTTTATTTTTTTCTTTGGAACTAAACCACTGCTCATTATCAATTAACTGAATGGTAGGAAATGCAGCTTCCATCAAATCCATACTATTCCTTACATATCTTCTCACTAGCTGAACAGTTTTCTATTTCATCCTCCTAGACTAGCAACCTAGAGATCCATACATTAACTTTTCAACAATGGCTCACTGACACAGGGGAGGCAGGAGGAAGAGAGGAAAAATGATATAGTAGCATCAGAGCCTGATTTCAAAGGCGATGAACAAGATGTTGAGAATAAGAGTATCAAGATGAAGTAAAAGACCAGCATACAATATTCATTCTCCCTTCAAGTTATTAAGATGAGTTTAATTATTAAATGACATGAAAATTAAGTCTCCTTCCAGCCAGGTAGTGGTAGCACACGTCTTTAATCCCAGCACTTGGGAGGCAGAGGCAGGTGGATCTCTGTGAGTTCAAGGCCAGCCTGGTCTACAGAGCTAGTTCCAAGACAGCTAGGGCTATACAGAGAAACCCTATCTCAAAAGAAAGGAAGGGAGGGAGGGAGGGAGGGAGGAAGGGAGGAAGGGAGGCAGGGAGGGAGGGAGGGAGGGAGGAAGAGAGGGAGGGAAGTAAAAGGAAGGGAAGGAGAGAGGGAGGGAGGGAAGGAGGGAGAGAAGGGAGGAAATGAAGTCTCCCTCTAATTCTGAGCTTCTGGGAGGAGCATTATCCTCTGTGTAGGGTATCTCTAATTACACACACACACACACACACACACACACAGTCCACTTATGAAACAGTTTCCATATGGGTTTTTCTTCCTTATGTTAGATTTATTTTTCATTTTATATGTATGAGCTTTTGCATGCATGTATGCATATGCAGCATGCAGTACGTAGCTCCTTCTGAGGCTAAGAAAGGATATCAGATCCCTTTGATCAGATCCCTTTGTCCCTATATTACAGACAGTTGTGAGCTGGAAAAGGAACCCAGGTCTTCTGCCAGAGCAGCCATTGATCTGAACCACTGAATCTCTTCAGGCGTATAGCTTTTTCAGATATACCTAGTGTTAGTTATCCTTTTTTTTTTTTTTTTTTTTTTTTGCCTTACTTTCCCACCCCACTCACTTAACCCTTCTTCCCATCATTCCCTTCCACGTGTTCCACTCTCCCCTCTCTCTCTCTCTCCCTCTCTCTGTTTTATTTTGTTGTTTGTTTGTTTTTGTTTTTCGAGACAGGGTTTCTCTGTATTGCTTTGGAGGTTGTCCTGGAACTTGCTCTGTAGACCAGGTTGGCCTCAAACTCACAGAGACCCTCCTGCATCTGCCTCCTGAGTGCTGGGACTAAAGCTGTGTGCCACCAACACCCAGCCTGAGAAATACCTTGTACCTCTACTGAGTTAAGAGTGTAGAAGTCATTTAAGTTTCCCCAGCTCTAACACTTGCCTTGGTTTCATGGTTTTCTACTTTTCATATTTCTTTCTTTCTTCCTTTTTCTTTTTTTTTTCCTTTTTCTGAAATTGAGTCTATATAGTTCTGGCTATCCTGGAACTCACTATGTAGACCAGGCTGGCCTTGAACTCAGAGATCTAACTGCCTCTGCCTCCTGAGTGTTGGTATTAAATGTTTGCACCAACTCACCTGGTCCTAAATTTTGTGTTTTAAAAACTTTTTTTTTTTTTTTTTTTTTTTTTTTTGAGGCAAGGTCCTATGCAACCCAGGCTAGCTTTGAACTCCCTATTCAGCCAAGAATAATGTTGAACTTCTGATCACCCTGCTCCTACGGAGTATTGCTTATATGGCCACTAGAGCTGCAACAACTGGTTTTCTACAATGCTGAGAGTCTAAGCCCTGCATCCTAGGCAAGCACATGACCTACTGATACATCTTCAGCCCCTAAAATTTACTTTTTTATTTCCATAGTTGGGGCTACTTCTAAAATAGAAATATCTTCATGTGACAGCCAAACTTGTTTTTGTTTTTTATTAATCCATGTGCAACATATATTAAAATGTTCTAAATTAACCAAATGACTAAATTTTAATAGCCTAAAAGAAAGTATTAAATGCATTTCAACTGATTGAAATATTGAATGTTTTGTAAATGGTTATACTACCAAAAGAGATTCACAGACTCAATGTAATGCCCATCACAATTTCAATGACAATCTTCACTGAAATAAAAATAAAATAAAATAAAATAGGGGCTAGAGAAATATATTTTGTTAAGAGTGCCTACTGCTCTTGCAGAGAAAGTAAGTTTGGCTCTCAGCACCCATATCAGGGAGTTCACTACTGCCTCCAACTCCAGCTCCAGGTAATCCGATATCCTCTTCTGTCCTCTACAGGAAGCTGCACTCAAATGCACTACCACTTACACCACCCACCCACCCCACCCCCGCCAACCCCCTTCTCCCCACACACACACCTTGCTTTAAAAGAAAGGCTGGGTGTTGGTGGAGATGCCTTTAGTCCCAGCACTTGGGAGGCAGAGGCAGGCGTGTCTCTGAATTCAAGGCCAGCCTGGTCTATCCCAGACAGGTTCCAACACATTAAAAAAAAAAAAAAAAAAAAAAAAAAAATCTTAAAAACTAAGGAGAACCAAACAATCATGAACAAAATTCCAACCAAGGCAGACAGATAGGCCTGGGCTATGACAGAGTTCAGCATGAGACATAGTGCAAGTGAGCCATTAAGTAGCATTCCTCCATGATTTCTGCTTGAGTCCCTGCCCTGCCATCAACCATGGACAGTGACCAGGAGGGTATGTAGAAACAAACTTTCCCTCCCCTGAGCTGCTTTTGATTATGCTGTTCACAGCAACAGGAAAGAAATTAGAACACAGAGAGACAACTGAAGTATCTTAGATACTGTGTAAAATGTCATTATGAAATTCACAACTATGTATAATGAATATATGAAAAAAAAAAAAAGACTGCCCAGTTAGAACTTTAAAATATTTGCCTCAAATCCTTATGGTATAAATTGCATACTTCCTGTGCAAGTTAACACAATTCAGTAACTTTTGTTCTACATACACTCAAGTTCCAAATGAATTCAGAAAGCCCTACCAAGATAAAATTAGAATTGTTTAAATTCCCCTGAATACGGTAGTAGATGAATTGCCAGAACCACATCTACCTTACCTTCAACAAGAAAGCATCCACAAAAGTGTACACACACAAATTCTCAAAACCTCTCCTTTTTTTATTTAAAAAAAAAAAAAAAAAAAACAGAAAAACCTAAGAAGCCCAGAAAACACTAGAAACAAGTGAGAAACAGATGCCACATGTGAAAGTCCAACAAGAAATAAGGGGCAGTGTTAGAGACATAAGCAGACTATTATTTCCTAGACGTCCTGCTTTGCTTCAGGTCACTTCTGAGTATCATTCAAAGGGAGGCCTTCTATCAATAGTCTACCCCTAAAACATACATCAAAGGTAGGCCTTCTTTTAGTAGTCTACTCCTAAAATATACTGATTAGCAAACTGCTGCTTTTTAGACCTAAGCTGCTTTCTCCTCCCTAATGCTTAAAAGTTTGTCTTATTTTCATCTTTCTACTTCATGTAAATTTAATGTCATGCACATAAATAAAATTATGATAATTAGGAAGGGTCCACGGTAACTGGATAGTTTGCACTGATACAAAGTTTCCAGAAAATAAATTAACTTCTGCTTCTTGTCGCTTTAAATTACTTTCTTCTATAATGGAATTTTTTTTTTTTTTTTTTTTTTTTTTAAGTAGCAGCACTCTTTCACTCCTTATAACTTAAAAGAATAATTGTGATTTCCTTAAAGCTCTGGAAAGAAAATCATTTGAGGAAAGAATTTATGAAAACTTATAAGAAATCTTAAATGCTTTTGGTATTTTCAAGTAATACTTTAAAGGCGTGTGTGCCCAAGTCGATTTATGTGTCTGCAACTTTGCAGTAAAGGGAAAGATTCTTTATGTCTCACATACTGTGCATATATGCAATTCCAGCAATATAAAGTAACTTTCCAAAAGCATGCAAACAAAATTCTTTTCCCCTATTAGAAGATTGGCTCTTCAAAAACACCACTAAAAAACAAATCTTCATAAAAACTATAGAACATTACAGTTAAGTACACTAAAAATTATTTACCCATCGTAGCTAACATTTTCCATTGAAACAAGCTCACCAGATAAAACTTTGCCCCATTCAGCAATTAGATGTCATTTCAAATAGAACAAAATGACCCTTAGAAATGGAGTTCTACAATATGGTAAACAGCTCTCTGGCTTTTTAGAGTTTATGGAATAAAGTAATTTCATAAATAAATAATCCTGACAACTCAGTGATACAAAAAGTTACTAGTATTACAAAGGGAAAAATGGGTGGCTGACTAAAGGAGCTAGATGCTGACTCCATGTGGTATTCCGGAAATAAAATCTTCAACGTACCACAAATCCCAGTTTGTTTGTGTGTTTATTTTCTTGTGATGCTCCCTCCTAATATGAAGGAAACAAACAGGATTGCCTGCAAGTACAAGTTGCAAAGCCACACTCTAAAGCAGACCCTCTTAGTGACTGTCTCTCTACCCAGAATTAGAATTCATTAGATACTCAGCACCTTGCCTTCAAGTTGCCATCTTAACATCTGTTATGTCTGCATGGCATCGTGAAATGTCAGCCTCTTACACTTCTCAGAAAACCCACTACAATCAATTCTGTGTCACTTGTTTTTGCAACACAGACACAACTTATAGGAAGGAAGGTTTATTTTGCTAAGTGGTTTTGGTCCATCATGGCAGTTAGCATAGAGCAATTCACATCACGTCAACGAAGAGGCAGAGAAACAGAAATAACAGAAAAAAACCTAGTGCAAGACATGCCTGTAAGGACCCTCTCGGTGACCCAATTCCTCTAAACAGACTTGTAACTCTGGACTAAAAAAGCAATGGAATACTTTAAGCAGTGCTTAACAGACCATCTTACTAGCAGCATGGACAGCGGTGCTGATGGTGATGTGAAATGTATAGCCTAGCTTAAAAGGTTTTAGAGGGGAAGAATATTACTGGCTGGCCACATTCTTGTGATATTTTAGAAAAGAATGTGGTTGCTTCCTGCCCTTGTCCTAAAAATTTGTCAGGAGCTGAAACTGGCAAGGAGATTTCAAGACAGCCTAGTATCACTATTATACAGACATATGAGGAAAATGAGCACATAAAGCAAAGAGAAATATAGAATGTACAGTTTAAGAAGAAAAGAACATCAGGAAATGTAATTCTGGAGCTGGCTCTGGTGCTCAATGAGATAATTTAGGCCTTGAAAACATCAACAAGTCAAAGCTTACGCAAATGTAAATCATCAAGAAAGTTACATTTCAGCCTGAGCAGGCAACAGAACTTGACAGCTTTGGTCACTTAGTTTTAGGGTAAAGAAAAAGGGAATGGAGTTGTGGAACCACCTCCCTCATTAAAGAAAGCCTTTGAAGCTAGGCATGTGGTAGGCCCCACATGAGGTCCTAGAGAGGCCATGCATGCAGCTATAATAATGATGGGAGATGCCATTATGTATATATGTTTCTCATACTGGTTAATGAATAAAGCACTGTTGGCCAATAGGAAAGCAAGATAGGAGGGACTAGGAGACAAGGAGGAAGAGGAAGTAGTAAGAAGGGCCAGGATAGAGAGTTGGGAGAAAGCAGTATGCCGGCCGGCTCCCCGGTAAGAGAAATACATAGATCAGCAGAAATGGGTTAATAATTAAGACAGAGCTAGCCGATAAGAAACTAGTAATGGGCCAACAGATTATATCAAATACAGAGTCTCAGTGTGAGTTATTTGGGGCTGGCTCGGCGGTGGGACAAGACCAGCGGCGGCAGGCGGAAAAACCGTACTCGTTACAAGGCCCCACATGCAGTCCTAGAGAGGCCATGCATGCAGCTATAAAGGTAAAGGCTGAATTCTGTTGGAGACCCCAATATTTTGGAGATGCAGGGTTATCTGTGAAAGAGATGCTGACTGGGTGTGGAACCAGCCCAAGTGAGAGAAGTGTGCTACAGTCAACAAAGTTGAAAGGAGTTGGAGTTCTGAAGAGCATCTTGGCATCAGACATAGAGATGCAGAATGTGGAGTTTGCCCTGCTGGGTTTCAGTGTTGCTTTGGTCCAATTTTCTTCACTATGCCACCTCCCCTCCCTTTTGGAATGGTAATATACATTTTGTAACATTGTATGTTGGGAGTATGAAATCTACTTTTTGAATTTGATTTTACAGGGGATTACAGCCAAGAGACTGCGTTGAATCTCAGAAGCGACTCTGGACTTTTAAACAGTGTTTAGACTGAAAGTCCATGGAGACATTTGAAGCTGGATTAAATGCACTTTACTCTGTGTTAAGGCTACAAGCCTATGAGGGGCAGAGAGTGAAATGTATTGTGGTTTAAATGAAAATGTCTCCCATAGGCTCATATATTTGCACACGTAGTTCCCAGTTGATCAACTGTTTGTGGGAATGGGTGTAATTATTGGAGAGGGTGTGTCATTAGGGATGGGATTTGAGGTTTTCCAAAGCCCATACCTTTCTCTCCTACCTCTCCTCCTCTTCCTTCCCTCCCTACTGTCTGTGAATCAAAAAGTAAAGCTCTCAAGCTACTCCACTAGCACCACACATGTCTGCTTCCAACCATAACCATTATGGACCAACCCTCTAAAAGTGTTAAGTAAGCCTCCAAATAAATGCTTTCTTTTAAGAGTTGCCTTGATCATGATGTCTCTTCACAGCAATAGAACAATAACTAAGAAAGAAATCAGTACCAGGAGGGACACAATGGGGGAAGGGGGTTGTCTGTTTTTTGCCCTGGCTAGTTTTGAACTAGCTACATAATCCAGGTTGGCCTCAGTCTCCTAAATGCTAGAGTTACAGGTGTGAACTACTGGACTCAGCTCCAAAAAGACTAACAATCAAAATTAACCATCACAAGTACCATGAACTGAGAAAACTGAAAATCTAACTACGTGCAGTAGGGAAAAGTAACAATCACAGCAGCAACCCAGGGAAGCCTTCCTTTTAGACTTGCGTAAACCTGTTACCTCCCCTTCTTTACTTTGGTTGCTGTAAAGGTCATCAACTATGAATTTCACTGTGCAAAGAGAACTCGCTTCCCTGCTCCTTGCTCCATTTTTTGGTAGCTTTAAGGCCCATTCAACTCTTTTTTCTGAAGATGAGCATGCGGCTGAAATAGGATAGAAGAATTACAGCATTTGACTTCCATATATAGCTTGCTATAAATAAGAAAATTAAGGTGAAAACTAAATAAAAACTATTTCTAAAAAGAAAATTATGTTTGTTGATAAACCTACTGATATTTTTTTTCTTCCTAGACAATGTCTATCAAGTCAAACACAGAAGTTGAAAGCACAGTGACTTGGTAAGAGTGAGTCCCTGTATGTTTCCCAGAATTATAAAAATAAACAAACAAACAAAAAATCAAACACATTCAGAACATAATAAAATTTTAAAAAATGATTGTTAATGGTTTAAAAAAAATACAAGTCAATGCATGTTTAAGTATAGTAAATCAGTCAACTAATAACAATAATAATATCTGATAACTTGGGCAAAGAAAACAAAACAGGCAACTTTAATTTGGGCAAGACTTTTGAAGCAAATGGCCTTATTGAGAAAACTTACAAAAAGCAATCATGAACGCATCACTGAAGAAAAGTCACTGTGACACCATCATGCTAATATTTTTTCCTATCTATTCTACTGTGGCTTTTTCATGCCTAGAACAACAGAATATCATCTACAGTTTGTAGGTGAGCCACCTGAAAGTGTCTGTCAGGTTTTATTAGTTTATTTGTTGTCTGTGGCTATTTCTGCTCTAGGGTGATATCTGACACAGACAACATAGTTTGTAAAATTGGATGGAACATAATAATTATTAACTAGCTATGTCTAGGCAGCATTAACAACACAATAGCTTATGTACGGAGATGTTTTATAAATGTGACAAGATAATCAAAAGATTAATTTTCTAAGTCACACTTAGCAGAAATCACCCGAAACATAACCAATAAGTCCAAAAACTGGAGTTGTTCTAAGAATATGGGATCCCTAGAGTGTATCTAATGGCAAGGTTCCCTTCCCCCAACCTCTTGCCTCCATCTTCTACAGTGAGGTCTTCAAATCACTGAATAGAAGTCTCCATCCCTTCCTTATTCCCCCCTCTTGCATCTCAATGATGAGGTGAATAGCTTTGTTCCACAGCACACATCTACCATAACAAATTCAAAGCAACACAACCTGATGGATATAGACAGATACTTACAATACTGTGAGATAAATTAAATTTTTTCTCTTCTTATCTCAAGTATTTATTTGTTGTAGTAACAGCAAACTAACATGGTCTCATTCCAAGATTTAGTTCAGAGTAGACAGCCTACCTTAATAGAAGCAATATGAAGCAGAGTCTCTCCTCTGTGATTTCTTTTCCTGGCCGCATTACCGGGTGACAGCTTCACTGTGGAGGGCTTTGACATCATTTGTCTGTGAGTTGAATTATTCAGCAGAGGTGGGGGTGTGCCTGGTGAAAGGCTAAGGGAGTTATCTGATATGAGTATGACATCAACTTGAAGTTTCTCTGAAGGCAGTGAAGAACATATATTTTCTGCAAGCACTCTTGGTTTAATGACATCTCTGCTAAGGCTCCCAATGTTGCTCTCACATTTCTTAGAAGTAGGATTGGGAGACCTGCTACAATCTTTGTGATTTCCATTACATCCTACTGAACAAAGATCTTTATCACAGGCCTTCTTCTCAGGAGTCTCTTCACTATTACTCACAGTGCCTGGAGACACTATATGCTCAGCCAGTGGTAAAGAGACTTCAGTCAATCTTCCAGAACATTCAGATTCTATGACAGAACCACTAGCTAGTAAGTCTATTTCACCATTTACCTGTGGACTTTCCATAAATAGTGTTTGGTTACAGGAGACTAGCCTCTCCTCCTTCAGTCCCTCTGTGGAATCAAACCTATCTTCTGTTTCTGGCCTTGACTTCCCCTCCTGGTTGATCTCAGCTGAGGATTTCTTCCGCTGCTTTTTTGCAGATGTTCTAGAAGCTGTCTTATTCCTCTTAGAAACAACTTCAGGGGGGCTTGTGGAAATAAATTCATATGTGGAGGCTTCCTGGGCTTTGTCATCCTTTGCGCTTTCAGGCTGGGTTGGTACTGAGGCTTTATTCACAACATATCTAACCTTCTTACTTCGAGGACTAAACCACATTTTTATTGAATTCTTCTTGCTTTGTGCATCACCAAATGAACCTGTCCTAGATGTGTTGTCTTTTGGGTCTGATGAGGGAAAAAAAGGAAAAGAAACATGCTATAAGGATTACTTTCTCCACCTTGACACACTGATGAATCTGGCTTTTAGTTCTCCTAAGTCAGTCACCTTTTATTTCTCAACTGCTATTCTACCAATTCTTAAGTGCCTAGAATTGCTTTGTCTATTTTTCACCTGCCATCTTATAAACACATCCACCAGGTAAAAATCACCCTAGGTAGAGAAGAATAAATAGAAAATACTGCATTTTAATAAATTTTTAGTTTTTAACCCTGCAAGAAGATCACACACAATCCAGCCTAACAATAACAGCATTCAGGCTATGCTCTAAAGAGGCCACCACTTCTTCCTGGTGACATGGGAGCACAGGGAGTGCCATGAAGACAGTAAACAGGTAAGGCCAGTTACAAGCAAAACTATGTAACTGAATGAGGGCAGAGTCCCCACAGCCATCAAAATGATTTGCTGAGCAATACATGGTCTACACAGTGTTCCTGAGAGGAATCCTGGGAATCAAAGCAGTACGAATGAGATTTCCATTCACAGAGAAACTATACGTCTAAATTCAACAAGGTCTTTTCTCTTCAGTGATAAGTAGATTTTGAAACCCAGCCACTTCTGATACAATCTCCTGTCTAAAGAAAGGTCAAAAGGAAATGTTACCAGAGATTACTTCTTAAGAAGCCCTCAGGATTACAAAGACTTAAAGGTTAATCCTCAAGTAGCCTGTGAAAAGTTGTATTGGGTTTTAATTTACTATTTTAAATGCAGATGATGACATTTTCAACAACAAAAAAAAAAGTCAAGTCTTGATTTCTCAATGTTTATAATACTAATAGGAAGTAGAACTGAGCAGCTAAAGGGAAATTAAGGTATGTAAACAGTGACAACGCATTCAATAACCTAAAAACCCCAAATCTAAAGAAAATAAATTTCAACCTCAGCAACATGTTTCCTAACTTATAAAGGAACAAATAGGAGAACACACCCATGCAATTTATATGCACGAAATCATTTTAATGGCTAAAATATACTGACACCTAAGCTCAGGGATTTTAATCACCTCACTTGGTCTAACTAAGCAAGGATAACCACAAACAACAACTGTAAATCCTGGATTTTATGCAGCACATCTAAGATTAAAAAGCAAAACAACTCAGGTGGTACAACATAAATCATGTTATTAACAGTTACAACTGTTTTATGGGTGAATGTGTCTAGGCTTGATAAATTATCATATTTATTTCAAGAAGAAAAACATCGGCCCTTCACTTGCATAGCAAATTTCTTAATGATGACATTTAAAAGAATCTTATTCTCTGAATATAAATATTTCAGAATATACTACAAATTACCAAGAAACAGACACATGTGTTACTAAGGAGTTGCTTAGCCATGTTTCCTTTATCTTAAAGTGTAATAATAAGCATAGAAAAGATAAGCAATTAGAAAATGTGATTTCACCATCATTAATCTATATCAAAGGATTGTAGTGGGCTTTCCAAATTATTCTCTATTATATGTTACAAAACATAAGTTGAGAAATCTGACTACCTAGTTCTTTATTTAAAAAAAAAAAAAAATGAAAGCAAGCACTCTGTTTACCATCTGTGTAACATTAACACCTTCACTGAAGAATAATTATTCTGTAAATTAAGATGTATTTAGGTCTATTTAAAATAACAACAGCAACATGGCTGTCCAAACACTCCTCTCCATCTATTATAAAGTCACAGAGTATATGAAACACTGTGTAATCACTTTAGAAGGACTGGCATCTGTCCCCAAACTAGAGAAGGGAAATGCAAATTGTGATCCTATGAAAGCACAATCAATGTTCTTTATTTTAATGTCACCAACACCAACACATTCCACAAAACTTGACCAGCACCTGCAAGGGCTGATTTAATATGATGGACTCAAGGGGAAAATAGAAACTTTAAATTTAACTCTATTAGTAGAAAACAGATTGTTATAAAGAATAAGCTAAAATTATCCGTAAATGGCCATCAGGAAAATACGGCAACCTCTTCTCTTTTTTAAAGCACACTGAGCCGAGAGAAATATGTTGAAGTGTTTAGAAGCTCATCTTTGCACACTTCCTATAAATCAGGCTTCTTCATCTCTAGTGAATCATATGCTATGTCCATGATCTGACAAGTTCTTCCTAAGTAACCCACTTTAATTATAGTAATTGCATGGTTTGTAGTAAATGCAAGTAACAAGGTTCATTTGAAAGATAAATTATGAACTACAGGTTTTTGTTTGTTGGTTTGTTTAAAGATAGACCAAACGTGAGAGCTGTTTAAACATTCTACTTAGTTCAGCATTTTAACGTGTTATCAGTTAACAATTACAGAATTTTGGAGTTAGCTAAGGGTTCAGGAATCACGCAGTCTGACATCCTTGTCTTAAGGTGTCTTGCATTTTCATACAAGGGCAATTCTTACTTATTCCCAATTCCTGGTTCCTTCTCTATAAAACATTTCACTTTCTACCATTTAAATTTAGTTTTAGACATACTCACTGGATAAACTAGCACAGGTCCTCATTACATTTAATAATGTACTATAAAGAAACAAAGGAGGTATTGGAGGGGGGGGGGACTTAAAACTCAAACACCCTTCACAGCTGCCTTGTTTTGAGAAGACTTGGGGAAAAGTTGATAGTGATACAACTTAAAACAGAAACAAAATAGGTACTACAAAAACAGATATATATTCAATAAATTTTTCTAACATTTCTGTCATTTCCTATTAAGGTAGCAAAGGTGTACTGTGGGCTTTGTTTTCTTCTATTAGATTACTTGCATGTGTTGTGTGTGTGCGTGTATGAGAGGGAGAGGGAGAGGAAGAGGAAGAGGGAGAGGGAGAGAGAGAGAGCACATGTGAGTGTTCTGGCATATACATGCAAGGCCAGAGGAGGCTGTTGTTAGATCTCTCAGAGCTGGAGTATTGGTGCTTACAGCATGGTCAGCTTACAGTATGAGGGTCTGAACTCCAGTAACATTCTGCTGATTTCTACCCAACTTAATTCAATAAATTTAGCAAATACCTACCAAGCAAACAAATGTTCAAAATAGGAACAGAATAAGAACATATTATAAAAGGGCCAGGTCTCATCCTGAACCTTGTTTGAAACTCATTTTTTCCACTGTCCACAAAATACAAAAACTATACTATCATTCCAACACCTTTCACTATAATAAGTATCTAGGAATCTTATTCGTTTTTGTACCACAAGGTACCTAACACCCTAGTGAGCCACTGCAGATGGCAATTAGCTTACAAAGGCCAGACTAGACTCCTCCCATTTTATCATCATTAAAAATGTCACATTAAACTGTGATATTCCTTCTCCTCTCTAAGTCCACATGCGGACAACATAATTAATACCTGATACCCAAAATGTCATCATAAGCATGTTAGACAGACTTATCCAAGATGAATCTGCACTGGCATGGATGATCTAATGCAGTTTGAGGACATGAGGTGGCCATGAATACAAGCCATGAATCTCAGAGAGAATACTTCTGAAACTCAACTTCAAGCCTCCAGAACTGAGACAGTTTCTTTTATTTAAATCAGACAGTTTGTCACTTGTTAGAGCTTCTGCCATAACTTAGCACCCTATTACACACAATAATTAGAGAAGAATCAAGTTAAAATATGACAATTTTGAAAGTAGAACCCCACATTTCAGGGCTTGGCCAATAATCTTAACAATCAGACATAGCCAGAAGAATCTAATGAAAGCAACTTTCAGAGACATATTGTTCTTAATGTACAAATAATTCAAGTGATTCATTGATTCTTCTCCATTCCCAACTCTGACACTGAAAAAGACACATGGGCCCTTATTGGGAATCAATACATCAATTTAAAGTACATATGAGGAGTAGATGGAGGTCGATAAGATCAGACACATAATTTTTTCAACTTTCAAATACACACCCCATCAGACACTGTTCTTAAGGAAGAAAAGTATTCAGATGAACTAATGACAATTCTTTCCTCAATGAGGCCTGTTTCTCTTTTTAGCATTTAATTTCATACACGCACACCCCCCCCACACACACACACATATCAATGCAGGTGCCCATGGAAGCCAGAAGTCAGATCCTCTGGAAACGGAGGTCTAGAAAGTACCAACTACCTGACCTGAGTAGTAGAACTGAACTCAGAACCTCTCTGCAAGAGTAATATATACTCTTAACTGCTGAATCATCTCTCTGGTCCCCCTCAGTACATTCTTTTTTATAATCTTGTTTCTTCTTTCATTATTTTTTATATTATAATTATATTGTTTCACTTTTCTCCATCCAGCCCCTCCTAATTATCCTCTCAGTCTGTTTTCTCTCAAATTCATCCTGTTTTTCTTTGTTAGGCACACATACACACACACAAACACAGAGTTGGTTAGTCATATAATAAATAACATACATAAATATATGCTGCCCAAACAAGACCAGAACCAATGACACCAACAGACATGACAGCACAAAAGAAAAAAACTTCATTAGGCTACAGGAAACTCATAAACGTTTGGAGCTAGAGAAGTAACCCCCAAGTGGTTATCCAATACTAAGTAGTCAGCCTTGAATTCAATACATTAAGAGACTTATAATCCTAATAATTTTTAAAGCAAGCTCTTTACAAAATATATGTACAGACCTGTATACCTTAAGACATATTTTATCATTTAAAAAAAAAAAAAAAAAAAAAAAAAGGAGTTTAAGCTAGGCAGTGGTGGCACACACCTTTAATTCCAGCACTTGGAGGCTCAAGGCCAGGCTGGTCTACAGAGCTAGTTCCACAACAACCAGGGCTACACAGAGAAACTCTGTCGAAAAACCAAAAGAGAAAAAGAAAAAAAGAGTCTAATACAATGACCAAATAACTAAATGTAAACATGGGTTAACTATAACTTACATTCTTAAAAATACAGACCTGTTGTCAATAATGCTTAAAAGCATTTGACTTTCTTGATTTTGTTCAATCAACTTTACTAGTAGTTGATTACTTCACTATCACATCAGAATCCAAAAAACAAAAGACTTAAAAACAGAAAAAGAGCCAACAATTTTATATTATCATTATCAATCTTTCATGGCATCCTACCAGACAGATTCTCCTATAAATACATGCTAAAATGATATGATTTGGTCAATGAAAAGACAAATCCGACATCCAATTATGAAAATTCAAAACACTTTAGTTTCTTTTCACAGCCAATTAGTTCTCAGCAGAAAGCACAATGGGAAGATATATAGTTAATACACAGAGTCTTAGAACAATTTGGAAAACATTAACCCCCATTTAAATAGAAAAGAAAATGAGTGTTAGATTTTTGCTCTTTCAAAATGTATACCTAATTAATTCAGTCTAGAAAAGCAATCCTTGCAAGAATACTGCATTCTATCTTATAACAGGGGACTTAAGTGAATTAAGCACTATTATAAATACACTATGGTATCCATAGTCTATAGAAACTATCCCAACTGCACAAAGCTGTCAGTGTGAAGTGAGACTCTCTAGACTGACATCAAGAAATGAGTACTATTTCTCTTGCTTCTTGTATTAACTATGCATGTGACTGCAGGCAAAAGCATTTCACTTCTCTGGACCTTAGTTCCTCATCGATAAAGTTGAGACTTAATTATCTCATTTCTCAAAATAACTTAAAACAAAAAAAAAAAAAAAAATACCAACAACCTACTAATCTTAAAATCTTTCTTCAGGTAAGCATTATTATTATTAATGTGTCCACTCTTTAACAAAACAATGATGCTATGTTACTCACCTGAAAGTTTATTGTCATGTAGCAAATTCTGAAGTTTCCTATAAAGCTGGATCATGCTGTCCAATTGTCTGTTTATCTTGAGGTCTAGGATCCAGGCCGGTGTGTAACACACTGGACATCCTGATCCAACACAGTCACTTATACAAACACTTAAAAACATTAAAAGAAAATTCAGTAGAATCTGAACTCCAAACACTAGAGAATATGAGCAGAAGGAAAACAGCAGTTTTGTTTTGTTTTATATAGATTGGTAAAGCAGTGTGCTTTGAGAATATGATATGTATATATATGTAGTCTCTGATCAATTTACTATAAGACATTATTTAGCAAGACAATCTAATTTTTTCCCATCAAACAAATCTATGGCTCCTAAAGGGTAAGGCTATAGCAATGTGAACAAATACAAAAACCTCTAAATCTATGAACCAAAATAAATCCTTCTCCCCTGTTAAACATAAATCTCAAACGTGTGCTTTACCGGCTATGATACAAACATAACGTTAAAAGTGTCCCTGACTGACTCACGCACAAATACTTGGTCCTAGACCATGTAGTGCTATTTGGGGAGGAAGATGGAACTTTAGGAAGTGGGGCCTAGCTAGAGAAGTCACACAGGTATGCCTTTGAAGGTTCTTCCTAGTGCCAAATCCCCAACCCTTCATGTTTCCCAGCCGCTGTGACAGAGCATCTACCTCCATATGCTCCTACTACCTCAGTGGTTTCTTTCACAAGGTTCTCTCACAAGGCCTTTGAAGGATGAACATGCCCTGCACTTGGCTTATTACACTAACCCCAAGAAGCAAAATTGGTGTTCAAGCACCAAATTCACCAAAGCCAAGCACTATCCCCGAAACCTGAGACCCTGAACTCAAACCTGTCTTTTCTCAGATAACTTATATCAGGTATCCTGTCACAGTGACAAAAAGGTTAACTAATATCCACCCATCAACTGCTTAAATCAGCCTGTCACAGCAATGGAAAAACCTCACTAGCAGTCCTTAAGAAACCAGGCAAGAACAGTGTCTACCAACAACAATAAATATCTACCCACAACAATAAATGCCTGTTTTAAGTCACCCTATCTTGGAAATTTGAGAATCAGACTTCAATAAATTTTGAAAGATTATTATCTCCATCACTCAAAACTGTAATATTCAAGAGATCATATCAGAATTATGTCAAAGGCACTGCTGCTTTCCAAAACCTTAGCAGAGCTACTTCCTTTGGAACTTCCCCTCTGAGCTTTATTTCTTATTTGTAAATGAAAACAGTTCTAAGGAACAACTCAAGATAATACCCAGACATCACAATTACACCAGAGTACACACACATCAGGACACACATCACTATTACACCAGAGTGTACACACATCAGAACAGACATCACTATTATACCAGAGTGTACACACACCAGGACACACATCACTTACACCAGAGTGCACACACATCAGGACACACATCACTTACACCAGAGTGCACACACATCAGGACACACATCACTTACACCAGAGTGTACACACATCAGGACACACATCACTTACACCAGAGAGCACACACATCAGGACACACATCACTTACACCAGAGTGTACACACATCAGGACAAATGTCATGATTACACCAAAGTGTACATCAGGCTCTAACCACTCACCTACAGAAGATGTGCTCACAGCCTCCTAAGCATACTGGCTCCTTCAGAATATTAGTGCTGATCAAAGAAAGAAAGATACATCATTATTACATAAACATTTCATGCCCAATATGTTGCAAACCCAAGCTGCAACACTATCTTGTTTCTTTATCAAAGCAGAAAATATTAAGAATACATTTATTGCAAAGGCTTTAATTCTGCTAGTTATATACCCATGGATATACTTGCTGTACTCAAATTCAACATCATGACAAGTTTTAGGACTTTTTATAATGCATTTGAGAGGTTAGGGAAAGGGATCAGTGTTCAAGCACCTCTAAACTTCAACTTTCAACAGCTAAGGTATATCTTCCCCAACTGAGTTGAAGTGAAACCCATAAATCTCAAAATGTCACTTGTCATCCAAAATGAGAGAGAGAGAGAGAGAGAGAGAGAGAGAGAGAGAGAGAGAGAGAGAGCGCATTTCTCAGAGTCAAATGGGGTGTTTAACTGGATAGGATGTTGGGACCAGGGATACAAACCAGAACTGTCCCAGAAAGTAGAACACTGGGACACTTTGACCATAATAATACATGGCTTCCCATTTAAAAACAACAAAAAAAATCCTACTGTTTAAGTTTTGACCAAATATGATCTTTCTTTCAGTCTACAGCTATTTGATTGTTTAAACAATTGCAGACACAAATCAAGCTGACAATCTTCCAACTGAAGGAGACTCAATTCATCTAAAGGAGGCAGAAGGAAACCTCCCCAGCACTGTCCCTCAGAATGCCTGCTGACCCTGGAAGTCATGACAAAGGACAGGCTCTTCCTAACACACATGCACTAAGCCCTACTACTCAGCAGGGTAATGAATGCATCAAGAGCACAGCACACAAGAAGCCTTTGAAGGATGACCACTTCCTTCACTTGGCTTATTATACCAACCCCAAGACCTTTAGGTGTTTCCACCGTTATTATCCAATTACCTCTGAACAAAAACTACAATCAGTAAAACACAGTTCTATGCGTTCTGGAAAGATCAAACATTTCACATTGCACATTTTAATAGATAGGAACATTAAGGTGAAATGAAGCTTTCAGGAAGAGGCTAAGAAGAAGAGTACACAGCTCTGTTATTCTCAAGCTACTAAAAAAAGCTGCTCACTGACATTATAAAACCCATTACTTTCAGAAACTCACAAAAACTCATTTTTTGATCATGCTACATAGGACAGATTGACTAACATGTATTTGGTGACTCCAGCAATAACAGGATTGTAACCAGTATGTGTGTGGCTCCTGTAATTTGTATTATATGAATTACTAAACATAATGACCTCTTTCATAATTAAGGGCTAAATTATACTTGGTCCCCTACAACATGGTCTTCCTATACCTTTTCTGTGTATCTAGCTTCATCCTAGCCAAAACCTATCTCCATCTACAGTGAATACTGACCATTCTTGTAGTTCATTGGATTCCGTATTCAGCCCAGACCGCAAGATTTAATGACAGCACTTTTGCTACTGATATAAGATACTTATAAATGATAGAGAGGCCCCAGAGTCCCCTGCCTTGTATGTTCTAGCTTTGAATGCCACAATAACAACAGAAGGAAGCCCAATGTGGTAGTGCATGCCTTTAATCCCAGTTCTCAGGAGGCAGAGGCAGACAGATCTCTGTGAGTTCTAGGCCAGCCTAGTCTATAGAATTCCATGATAGCCAGAGCTATACAGAGAAACCCTGTCTCAAAATTTGTTTAAAGAAAAGACAGAAGGGTATTTGACATGGTAGTGAATACCTATTTCCCCTACACTCAGAAAGCAGAAGTAGGAGGATTCTAGGTTTAAGGACAGCTTAAGGTCCATAATGAGTTCCAAGCCATCTTGGCCTACAAAAATGAGACTCTACTCAAAATAAGGGAGGGAGGGAGAAAAAGATAGAAAAAATGTGTCTCTAAAAAGCAGTAATTCTTCACCTTTGCATCTCTACAATGAGATGATCAGTAAATTAAAAGCTATTTAACTATGACTACATGAATATTCAAAGCTACCTGTGTTCCTAAGAACCTCTCACAATGTGTGAACCTGTGACCATCTAGACCCCTGCTACCTGTTCCATAACCTCACCCCTTCCTCCAGTCTCAGAGAAGCCCTTCCTCGGGTACTCTCATTCCTGAGAAGGGCTGCTCTCAAGCTCCCATATCATCACTGTTTAAAGTGTGTAGCCATCATTGTTTGAATCACCTTTCTTTCACTCACATGTAAGCATACACAGGTAATATGGTGGTTTGAAAGAAAATGCCTCCCATAGGGAGTGGCACTATTAGAAGGTGTGGCTTTATTAGAGCAGGTATTGCCTTTTTGGATGAAGTGTGTCACTGTGGGGGTGGGTTTTGAGGTCTCCTATGCTCAAGCTACATCCAGTGACACAGTTCACTACCTGTTGCCTACAGATGAAGATGTAGAACTCTCAGCTCCTTATCCAGCACCATGTCTGCCTGCCCACTGCCATGCCCCCTTTCCCCATGATGACAATGAACTATACCTCTAGAACTGTGACCCCAATTAAATGCTTTCCTTTATAAGAGTAGCCATTGCCATGGTGGTTTTTTTTTTTTTTTTTGTATGTTTGTTTGTTTTGTTTTTGTTTACAGCAATAGAAAACACAAGTAACCTAACCTCCCCTTCAACCTTAAAAACCTTCATTTGGACACTGCCACCAATTCTATCATCTCCCCCAACTGAAATAAGTGTTCTACCAATAAGACCATGCTAACCATCTTAGCTCTGGCTCACACCTCAACAAAGCTCTCCAGAGTGCTGTGGTTCTTTCTCCTCCCTGACTTCCCTGTGAAAGAAAAGGCTGCTTCCTGAAGCCTCTCCTTGAACTGAGTCGTCTTCTTCCAGCACTTCTCCTTTCCTATTTCAACCTATTTCAGCACTACCTTGCTTCCCTTACTACCCTCCAAGTCAGCAGATCTCTACGATGTGGTCACTCCACAGCCTCCTGGCTTTCTCTGGTACAGGTAAACTCAATGTCTGCATTTTTCCTAAACCTATTTCTTTCCAAAGATAATTCTGAACCTTTTCTATAGTTCTTATCCTTCCCCCTAGCAGTGACATGTTACCATGTAATAAGCAGTGGTATAATATTTATAAATAACTGATCAGTGCAACTATTCTAACCAGTGGCATGTGCTGGCTTTTTAAAGGTTTTTAACAAATGAGGAAAGACATAGGCAATGTGGGTGAGTTCTGTGGGGGTTCTAAAGAAAATAACAATGAATGTTATGGCCAAATGTGATGGCCAAATGGCCAAAAGGCAAGGCCAACTTCAAGGGAAGTTACTAGGCAGAAACTGCAGAGGTAGAATTCATCTATTTCAAAGCCAAACTTTTGGTTAAGAAGATACCAAGAGTAAAACAATTTTATCTTACAACTAAGATACTAACCAAAATTTTAAATGCACCCAATTTTAACTCAGTAAAAGAATTTTATCTTACAAATAAGAGATACTAACCAAAATCTTAAATACACCCAACTTTAACTCAGTTATTCAAGCTGCAGGGATTTCTGTTTAGTATAATAAATACTTATAAATAATAAAACTTTAAAACACCAAACATTATCTAGGTAATCTTTTAAAAGCTTTCAGAGAATAAGAAATAATACACTAAACCAACACAAGATTAAGACAGCTAAAGCACAGAGGAGGTAGAAGATCTCCAGGCCTCAAGCCTTACTAAGGAGCTATACAGACTTACAGACTTACCAACTTACCAGGCAGGGCCAAAGGAGAGGGAATCATTTGGCAGTGTGGCCACTGGTAGGTTTCCCATGCTCCAATGGATGGACCCACACTCACTGGGTCTTAATGGATTGAAAGAAAAAATTTAAAGTGATGATGCTGGAAGCAGGATAGGTTCAGAGAGTACAGGAGGAATTGGAGGGGAAATAGGGGTAACTATGCTCATATTTCATTGTACACACATAAGAAATCCTCAAAATTAAAGAAAAAAAAATGTTTAAAAAGCAAAATGTCTTTACTGCCATCAATGTCCCATGATGAAGCTATTTGAAAATTTCAAAATATGAAAAAGAAATCCAATTAAAATGTCATTATATATTGTTTAAAAAAGAAAAATGTGCATAGGACTTTTCAAAGGTTGTAAGGGTTTGACAGACTAGTGAAGTAAGGACTTAATTAATAATGGAAAATTACTTTGGACTTTTAATGCTACACTCAGTCACCTTCTATAGTACAAGGTTAATACAGAATAAGACAATTCAACTTTATGAGTAAAAAGAAAGGAAATATCATCTAAACTAGAAAACAACCTAGAAATGGGATTATAAACATTATTTGAAAACCTAGAGGTAAAAAATAAATTGAACACAAACTGTAGACCACAGAAGGGATGAGAGATAAAGAATGTATTCACTACAGTCTTTTACCTTTGTCAGCTATGCTGAGGCACAAGTCTTTAAATTATGGTAAATATACTCACTCCAGCACTGAGCATTACTACAAAAGACTACCAGCAACTACTGGGCACGCGTAGAACACTAAACTGACTCTGCTATTTTTTTCCTAGGAGGTTTGCAATCTAATGGAGTATTATATAAACAAATTAATCAAATTAATATAAGACTTCAGGGAGATATAAAATGTTCTAAAGTTCCAAAAAAAAAAAAAAAAAAAAAAAAAAAAGCAGCAAGGGCATCTAATTGAAGCTCTGGAATTTAATGCTGAAAACACACATTTTTATTTTAACTGCTAGATTCTCATTTACTTATCTCCAAGTAGACTGTATAGCCTTATAGCCTTTCACATGAGACCTTTTTTTTTTTTTTTTAAGTTCCCCAATCCTTTTACCCACCTAGCATGGATTTCAATAACCCTTAGTAGATGAAGCAAGTGGGAGACTGTGCAAAAATTCATCAATCTACCTTTACCCTATTTTCTAGGATACACAAATACATGAGAAAGGAAAAAAAAAATGCAGAAAGGACACTCATTTGATAAGGAGATCTTTTAAAACTCCATCCCTTTGAAAACTCAGCTTTACAACT